CAGAGTCTGCATCCTATTCTGCCAGTTCCCGGCGGTGGGACCTGTCTGCCCCTCAGTTTGCTCATCTATCAAATGGAGATGATGTAGAACGCCGTCCCCAGCATCCCTGTCATTCTTGATATTCTTACCTTGCTTCACATTTCCCCATAGCACTTAGCGCCACCCAACGTACCACACGTTGTCATCTTTGTTGAAGCATGTTGCCCCCTCCAACCTAAAATGTCACGTCCATGAGAATAGAGGGATTTATCTTTTCTGTTGGATTCCCTGCTACAACGGCAGTATGTAGATCAATGCCTGGCCCATAGTAGGTGCTCAATAAAATAAATAACAGTCAATGAAATCAAGACACCTTCTCATGGCCATACAGCCATGAGGTTTCAAAGCCAGAATGCGAACCCAAATTCATGTCCAGCTGCCTCCAATGCACAAGGAGGGGAAAAAAGGTCAGAAAAATATGGAAAGACCATCGAGATGTGGCTTCCTTTTATCAATAAGTCTATATTTATTACATGACCAACAATGTTAAGAGATAAGATTTTGGTTAAAATCTATCAAGTAAAATAATCATTGTGGGAAGATCCCCAAGAGAAGGTTTTATAGAATTATAGTATCAAAGGATTTTCCATCATAGACTTAGAGGCAGAATCTAGAGTGGGTCTTCAGTGGGGGTCATCACCCCCAACCCAGTGATGGCCAAAGAATAGCAAGAATGACAGAGATGCTGGGGTGCCCGGCTGGCTAAGTCAGCGAAGCATGTGACTCCTGATCTGGGGGCTGTGAGTTTGAGCCCCACGTTGGGTGTCGAGATTGCTTAAAAATAAAATCTTAAAAAAAAATGGCAGATCCTGATTTAGATCAGGGTGTTGGGGGACATCTCAGAGGAGGCGATTTGTGAGCAGAGGCCTACAAGAAGCTAGGGGGTGAGCTATGCAGGATATTCAGGGCAGAGCATCCTGGGGCTGGGGGAGGGGGAGAAGAGAGAGCCAGCACAAAGGCCCTGGGGTATGTTTGTGGCACAACAAGGAAGCCAGTGTGGCCAAATGGAGAGAACAAGGAGTGGAAAGAAATGAAACAGGAGACGTGACCAGGGCTAGATCACATGGGGCCTTTTGTAAGAACTTTGGCTTTTATTCTAGGTAAAATGTAGAGCTACTGTAGGCTTTGAAGCAGAGCATGATGTGACTTGCTTTAGGTTTTAACAAGATCACTCAGGGTGGTGGGTTACAAACAGCCCCAAAGGGGACAAAAGCAAGAGCAGGGAGACTAGGCAGGATGCTTCTGGAATAATGCTGGGACAAGACATGGGCCCTGGTGGCAGCAGTGGGGGTGACACACGTGCTTAGACTCTGGGTATCTTCTGATTCTTGAATTCTAGAATCAATAGGGGGTACCGAGGACTCGGGGATAGGGTGTGCGAGAACGAGAAGAACCCGATTCGCAGTGAGCATGCTCTAGCTGGCAGCTCACACTGGCTCACACGAGTCAATTGTTAAACGTCCGGGTATCTAGCGATTCTGTTGGCACTGTGTTAGTAGCTCAAAATGGGCCATGGTGGGAGTATTTACACCACGGAAACTGGCAAATGCCGTGAATCAAGGTGTTTCTCCCCACCCCACTGCCAAGAAAGCCAGTTGTTGGACACACACCCATTCTACTGGTCTAGAACAATCCCAAGTCCTTTTGTCCTGAGCAGCTGGTAGAGTGGATGATTCCTTACTGAGATGGGCAGGTGGAGTGAAACGAGTTTGCAGAAGGGAAATTGGGAGTTTAACTTTGGATACCCTTTATTCGGGAGGCCTTTTAGACACGCCAGGGAAGAGGTCAGAAGGCAGGGAATACGAGTTGAATAGATAGCTGTATCGTCCCCACAGGATTACTCTGGGGAGGAAATAAATCCGTGTCTGCAAAGCACTTTGCAAATAGGAAGCACTCAGTGATGAAAATCGCTTTCTTCAACACGGCATTGAGAGAACCTTCATCCCTATGTAGACCAAAGCTTTCAGACTGGTGGCCCCTCAAGTCTGGACCCAGCCAGCAGACACTATTTTTTTTTTTTTTTTTTTGGAGTGGGGGAGAAGCATTATTCTAAAAAAACCCAAATTTAAATGATTTCTGGTGGGGATGAACTACCCTTCCATCACAGATCCCTCCCCTCCACATCACCCCACACTGGCCCCAGTTCCCATTCTCCGTTATCGCCTGGCCCTCCATGAGTCTGAGTGTGCATTCTCTTGGCTCAAGGCAGCCCATCGCTTTGCAGAGGGGGAATGTGAAGCCCAGAGGCTTGGTGCCGGGTCTGGGGCTGCTCAGGGATCCCTGGCAGGGCATGGAGGAGGGAAGTCGGGGCTCCTCTCTCCCCACCAACACTCATATCTGGGGCTGCCAGGATGATCAGAAGAGACAACATCTCCCCCCCGCCCCCCCGCAAGGGGTCCCTTCCTGAAGCAGATGCCAGTGGTGGCCTGGGTCTGAGGAACCTAATTGCTCGGGTTCCTGGATCGGCTGCCCCGTCGCGCGCTCTGCAGTGGAAATAAAACCCCATCTAGTGTCAAGCGAAAGGTTAATTGAGTATTTGATGCCTAGAGAGAGTGCAGTCAAGGGCTCCGGTTTCCTGTTTCCTCATCCAGGCCTGTGACACCAAGGGGAGACATGGGCCAGTCTTGGCGAAGCAGAACCGCGCATCTGGGGGGCACGCTGGGAGGAGAAGGCCACTTAGCGCAGCAGAAGCGGGGAGCATGGACAACTTCTGGGGGCATGGGGCTGGGAGGGCCTTCTGCAAGAGAAGCCAGGATTACCAGGAATTAGTTTCTCCTTCGCCTGGCTGAAGATTGAGGTGGCTTGCTAGGAACTTCTGGTGGTGGGGTGCTCATAAACCAGGATCACACATTCATATTTATCATCAGGGCAGTAGGGAGCCACAGAAGGCTTCCCAGAGGAAACAGCTTGAGAAAAAGAGTGCTCCATTTGAAGCTTCAGCTAAGAAGATGCCAGGTCTCCCTTGGACCCTTTCCTTCCATAACCCCTACCTGATCTCCATGCTCCAGCCACATTAAACTTCTTTCAAGTCACTAAGCTGGCCACCTTCTCTCTCATTTCCAGGCTTTGCACATTCTGTTCTCACTGTCTGGGACACTCTTCCTTTCCCCTCATCATTGTCTACCTTCTCTTTCATCCCAGCTCAGAAGTCCCTTCCTCCTGGAAGCCCTCCTTGGTTTCACTGAGGCCTCCTCAGTGGCCTGTCCTCCCTATCACCGCTCTCACCGCGCCACATGTAGTTTCATGTCTGACTCACCCACTAGATAGTGAGGGCAGAGATGCTTCTGTTTTCTCACAACTGGACCTCCGGCGCCTGGCTTAGTGCTTGCACACAGTAGGTGCATATGTATTCCCCCCCCCGCCCCGCCGCCCCAGAGCTAATAGAGACCATCCAACCTGCTCTGCTCCAATATAAACTTTACTGTGCAAGGGGTAGCTGCCAGAGCCTTTCCAGTGCCTACAACCGGGCTTGGCTCATAGTAGACAACTCAGAAACTACTTCTTGAGTGAATGAGCACTTCATACCAGACTCTAGAGGTCAGAGAGGTGAGAACAGGAGGAAGGGGTGAACTGCCACCGAGGAGTGAGCGAGGGTGGGAACGGGCAAGGGATGCTTACAAGCTGCCTCCAGTAGCCACGAAACACTGATGTTCCAAGACCCTCGTAACCGATGAGAAAAGCCAAAGCCAGAGAGAAGCCCAAAGGAAACAGCTGGGGAGGGGTAGGGGTGGGATTCTGACCCAGGTTGGCCTGGCCCCAAGTCCACAAAGGGCAACTGTGCAAGGTCTGTAAATCTTCGATTCGACTGGAGCAGAAGATCCTGGGGCAGCCTCCGAGGACACCTCCCCAGCCTTTAAGTGACAGCTTCAAAATTTTATCATAATTTTGCAGATAACTCCCTTCTTGCAAGTCTCCTCTGCAGAGCAAGGCAGCCTGGGTCTCGCTTCCCAGCCGACTGCGTTTCTACTTCAGGCTTCAGGGGAGCGCTGCCCTCCCCCCTACGCCCCCCGCTCCCCCGCAGCCGGGGTCCTGGTTGCCTCCAGAGAGGCTCTTCAGAACTTGGCATTCCCCCCACTGCCTTCCACTGTCCAAGCCATGGTGTCTGGGTCTGCCCAGAAGCCCTTTCTTCTCCTTCTCTAGACACGACCATCTGTCTCTGTCTGTTTCTCCCCATCCCTGGGGAGTTCAGCAGGGGGAAAGTTCTGGATGGAGCATCTCATGGGCACCCCCACTGAGTACAGCAAACAGCCACACAGCCGGGTAACTCCATCCATTACAATAGTTCTCCATGCAGCACTGGTCTCCTGAGTGCCCACTCTGTGGCAAGCTCTGTGTTAGGTCCCGGGACAGAGATAAATCAGAGCAAGCCCTGCAGACTACAGGGACCTTTGGGTCTAGTTGAGAGAGACAGATAAGAAAACAACCTGCTATGGTACAGACGGTATGCGTTATACCTCCCCCCGCCTCCTGACCACACTGGCTGTTCAGTCCTTCGAAAATGCTGTGCTTGTTCTTGCCACAGGGCCTTTGCTTATTCTGTTCCTTTCAGATATATCTACTGCAGCTCATTCACTAGTCCTGAGCTTTAGTATCGGATCCTCAGGGAAGGCTTTTCTGACCTTCCTCTTTGTATCAAATCCCCATTGTAAGATCTCATAGCACCATTCATATATCATTACATTGCTCACCAAATTTACGGTATGCCATTGTGGGTGCATTTCTACTTTTAATACCTGCTTCCTCCGTAGACGGAATGTCTGGAGGCTAGGTTGTGCATGATGTTTTCGTTTGTCTGTGTGTGCATGATGTTGTCGTTTCTCCTGCCACTGGGACTCCAGCTCTTTGCACACAGTCCCTGACACCTAGCAGATGCTTCTTTAACACTGGCTGAAAGAACAAAGTGGGACCCATCTCTTCCCCAGTCAGGCTGGACTGGAGGTCCACCCATCATAAACACTCACAACTGGATATCTAAGAAGATCCGTTTCTCCTCCCCTACGTGAATCTTCCAGATACAATCTTCACCTTCCACATACGGCTCTGGCCAGTTTGGGGACAGCACCACCCCGGCCACGGCAGAGAGCTCCCCACCACACATGGCTGTAGAAGACAGAGACAGATAGACAGAGACAGATGCACGTTATTCAGAAGGAAGCCAGTATGGCATAGGGATTAAGTGTGGGCTATGAAGTCAGACCATCACGGCTCACCATGTACCAAGAGCAGGTGCCTGCCCCTCAGGCAGTCTGTGCATGTGTGGGGGATGATTAAGTTAGGGCTGGCTGCCTGCCTCTGTTAGCTGAGTGTTGGTGAAGGAGGGGCTAAGGGCGCTGTGGTTCTTTCAGGATCAAGGACAGAGCTCAACGTTCCCGATGATTCCTCAACAGCCCTATTCTTGGGCACGGCGAGTAGTGGCTAACAGATGCTACATTCCCTTCAGGTGGACCTGGGTTCGAGTCTTGCCTCTGCCCCCACAGACTCAATGACGAGGCATGCAACCTTTTGGAGTCTCAGTTCCTTCTCTCTGTAAAGCTGCAGTAACACCACTGCTCACTGGCTCTGTTGGGTTATTCTGGAGTTTAACTGAGCTCATGGGGGTCAAATGCAGCAGAGCACCTGACCCAGGGTAAAGGCTCAATCCTTCTTAGTTAACATTACTGCCAAAGGGCCCAGCTCTGAGCTGGAAGTAGAGATGTGGCCGTGCTCTGCGCCTGGCTCTTTAAATTCCACTCTGTTTACCGCTTTGGAAAGTTCTCAATGTGGCAGAGGCCAAAGCACCAATAAATTCCGCTCTGTTAAACCAGCACATTTAATACAGGGATCAATCCCTCACCACGACGAAGCTATGATTTCCTGCCAACCGCCATCCAGGCGGCGGCTGCCGGAGCCAGGGCTATCTTCATTACACCACATGCTCCAAGTGCATCCAGGCTCAAGGGGGCTCTGTGGCCTTGAATATGGGAAGAGAGGCAGGGCCGGGCAGTGAGAGCCCATGGAAATGAGGGTTCTACCCAGCCAGTGCTGTCCAGAGGGGCTCAGAGCACAGGGCTCTGAGGACAGAAAAGACCCAAGTTTCATTTCCACCTCTGCCAGTTACCCTTAGTCTGTTCTTAGGAATATCACTTCACAGCTTCAGGTTCCTCACCTGTACATGGGGTCAATGCTATGTACCTCACAGGGTTGTAGTGAGGATTAAATCAGATAATGCACATGTAGCCCTTGTCAACTATTATGAATATCCCCATCATCATTATTAATTAAACTCAGGGCTGCCATGTGTGGTTGGGTGGGTTGTGCACTGCACAAAAGTACATAGCAAGGGGGGTATAGAGGAGCTGAAATCCAGGCAGAGATCTTTTCACTAAGCTATGCACTACAGGGTCTGTGCTTGGAGGAAGGGGCACCTTTAAAAATTTATCAATTTTGTAATTTTCTTAAGGACAGGCAGCAAATCTGACCCAAAGGATAGTGAGCCCTGGAAAGGGTTCTAATGCTAAAACTGGTTATGTAAATTTGCGATATACTTCTAGACTCCTCCCTTGGCCTTTTCATCTGAGGGGGTGGAGGTCCCTGAGGCACCTCGGGAGAAGGACAGTGGGGCCACTCACCTCTGCATAGGGGCTCTGTGTCATTCCAGTAGGGGTCCCGCACATTGATGCACTCGATAATGGCTGGACCCTGCTCCAGAGAGTGGCCGGGGTCGCAGGTGAACTCCACTATGGTTCCGATGTTATAGGTCGGGTCAGATGTGGTGAAATTCCCATTCTGAATGTAGGGCTCATAACAGTGGCCTTTCTCAAAGGCTAGGGTGGGGATACAAAAGAGGGGGAGCAGCTCAGATGAAGCAGGGGCTCCTCATAGTGCTCGATCTCAGAAGATGGGTCCCCTCTTGCTGTTTAGGGAAACTCCAAGGAAAATGGGCACCACATCCTGTGTTTCAATTCCAGCTGACCTGCTCAGGGCCCTTGGACCATTCACTTCGTTTTTTGGGACCTCATTATTTTCATCTCTAAGATGGGAATCCAAACCTCTGCCCTCCCAACCCTGCAGAGTCTTCCTTTGGAAGTCAAAGGGTCAGTCTGGCCGCCTGGGTCTCCTTTGCTCTTATCAGGTCAGATTTCTAGCTCCCAGGACCCAGCCCAGCTCTGCCATGCTTCCTCTTTGCCCACGCCATCGGGGACACTCACCCTCGAACCGGATGTTGAAGGCTGAGGCTGCTCGCGCCTGGTCAGAGGTGAACTCAATGCGGATGCTGTTGCCCTCACTCAGCAGACCCTCAAAGGGGACGTTCTCGGTTTGGAGGGAGTCATAGAGAAGAGCAGACCTGTTGGTCAGGCCACTGTAGACCACCATCCTGGCAGGAGGAGGAGGGGGAAGGACAGGAGGGTCACTACACCTGTACAATGAATACCACTTCTGGAGCCTCATTTCCAGACGCAGATCCCGACTTCGCCCCTGACTTGTTCAGACAAGCTGCACCACCTTAGGCAACCTGTTTCCTCTTCTGTAGAATGCTTGTCCTAGACTCATGGATGGATTCTAAAGTCGTAGGAAAAATGATGCATGTGATGTAATGAATCAAACTAATTAATGGATACTAATTATTATTACTAATTGAGAAGAAGAGATTGATGGGCTGAAAGAACGGTAGTCAGACAACCCAGAATCCCAGCGCTGTAACCTTTTGAGCTGTGTGACTTTGGACAGGGACGCTTCACATCACGGAGTCTCTGTTTCTTCATCTGTAAAATGGGTACAATCACACCTACTTACATCAGAGTATAGGGGTTAGAGGCCATGTGCATAATGTGCCCAGGATGGAGTAGGTATATAAGTCAAATTTTTTAAGCATTTGACTCCTAACAGGCTTTTTCTTTTATTCCGATATCCTAAGAGCTCTGTGTGTGGAATCAGGAGATCTGATTTTCACTTCCTAATTCTCCACCGATTGGGTTTATGTAAGTCTCAGCACATTGTGGGCCTCAGTTTCCACAGCCATGAAAGGACGGATCATAACATCTCTCCTACCTATTTTACAGGTGGGCTTTGAGAATACGACAGGATCAAGTGCCCTGAAAAATAAAATGTGCTACAAAAAATGTTGGTATTCATTTTTACTGTTATTAAAACCATTTGATTCTTGACTCCTTGCTAGTCTTGGTATTTTTAAAGAAATTATGCAAAACTAGGGAAAGAAATAGTATACGAATTAGATAAATTTCTTTTATGGAGTCCTAAACAGACATTTTAAAATCCTCTGAGGTGTTTGTTTTTTTTTTACCGTGACTCATAAAAAGCGTTTATCTTATGCTGCCCAGATGAATTTCTAATGTTACCAAAATGCATAAATGTTGAAGCCACAGTTTGTTCATTTTGCCATGTGTCCACCGTGGCTGGGATGAGGAGGGGCCTGGCTTCCCAGTCAGCTCAACCAGCTCAAAGGTTGGGGGCCAGTGCTGGGGAGTTAATGTGTCCAGGAGCATCTCTCATCCAATGATGGATGGGGGGTGGTGGTAGATAAATACCCCAGCTCCCTCACCCCTCCAAAAGGACCACTCTGAGGCATGCTCAGTAGTTTCTTGGAAGCCCCCAGTGGATAGAGCCCCAGCTGCCCCCACAGTCCCTTGCTCATTAACACAAACTGTGTTGACTCCTTTCCCTTCCCTGCCCACTGTCCCATGCCTCTACTAGTGCTTCCTAGGATTAACTCCCAAATGAGCGACTTCCCCTAACATCCTTGTCCCCATGTCCATTTCCAAGGGAACACAAACCTAAGGCAGCAAATCTAAGCAGCTAAAGCCCTATTTTCTAGAATATTTGAGAATATTCTAGCATAAAGTCATAGAATATGAAAGTTTTAAGATTCTGGATTCTATGAGTATTACTTAGAGTTTACAGACATGCTCTTGCTTAAGTATCGCCTTGTAACTTCTCCCTAGCTCCTTCCTGTCTAGTATTTCCACATCAGTTTCCTATGAAACCAGAAACCACGTCTCGCTACTTCTCTCCGGTTCTCCATGGAGCTTAGTACGTGTCTGGGTGCCGAGCAGGTGCTCAGCGAGTACTCCCTCCTTGATAACTGCAAAAAGGGATGTGCAGGAGAAATAGGCCTCTTTCCCTATTCTGATATGCGCCCTGGGGCAAGTCCCTTTCCCTCTGTATGTCCGAGTTTCCTTACCTGTAAAAGGAGGAGATCAAAGATGGTGTCTAATATCCTTGCCAACCTCCCCAGCCCTTCCTTTCTCTACCTCCACGAGCCATTTCAAGACTCCAGATACCTAGCCACATTCCGACACTCTGGGAAGGAAGGAGGCTGCTGGGGTAAGCCCTCAGAGGCTTACCTGTCCTTCTCATGCAATGACAGCCTCTCGAAATGCAGGTGTAGCTTCTGGCCCTCTGGAGCTTCGATGGTCCACACGCAGAACTGGCTCCCATTAGTGTTTCCTGGGTAACTTGGGGAGAGGACCCGGCCAATGGTGGCATTGTGCACAGCCCCTCCACAAGGGGCTGGGGGTGGAAAATAGGGGGGGGTGATCATGAGAGGAGAGCAGAGAGAGAGATCCTCACCCCTACCCCTAGTGGAAGGCAACAGGATTGGAAGAGGAAGACATGGTAAAAGGTTTCTCATCTTGGGTGAGTTTCATCCTGTTTGAGAGGAGACCTCATGCCATGACCGGATCCACCCCCTTGTGTGTTCCATGGTAGGGAACAACTGTGATTTAAGGATTCTTCCATGGCGCTGGTTGTGCCCTGATTCTTTACTATAAGATGGTAATCAAGGACATAAATAGGCAGTCCACAAAAGAAGAAATACACTTTTAGTATTTAGTAAGCACTAAAAATGCAGCCTCATTCATAATGAAAGAAAGGAAAATCTAGATTGTATTCTATTTTCATCCACCTGATTGGTCAAGGTAAAAAGCAGTCATGACTTGTCAATGGGAAACATGGCGGGAAATGGGTACTCTCACTCATAACTGGTTAGGATGCAAATTGCTATGACCTTTCAGGAGAGCAATTTGGAGAAAAATCTAGAAAGTATGTTCCTAAACTCTGACTTAGTCATTAAAGTTCCAGGAATTTATGTTAAAAAGAAGATTTGGAGATTTTCACCAAGATTTATGAATGAGAGTGTTCACTGCTGACATGCTTTTAAGAGCGAAAAATGAGAAGCAACACACATGTCCACTCACAGCTATTTGGTGGAATAAATGCACTCCATTCACTTGCTATTAAAAATCATGTTCTTAAGGAATACTTGAGAATATAGAAAAATGCTCCCTATATTTTAAGTGGGGGAAAAACAAGTTACAAAATGGTCTGTCTGCCATACCTATTTCAATGAGCTAATTGCAAAAATCTATTGAGACCATAAATATAAAAGTGATTTGCTTCTATCTTTACACTTTTGAATTTCTTAAAAAAATTTTTTTTACCAGAATATATCTTACTTTTATCATAAAAATTGAATGAGGAAATATTAAAAAATAATTTGTGAACTGGAGGGAGATAGACCAATGTGAGGAAGTAGTCTGTTTCTTATTTTTAGGAGATAATTGGGTCTCATTAAATGTTTGTTGAATGACTGCATGACTAATAAGGACTTGCAGTGGGCAAAAAAGGTAGATAGCTCACTGCTCTGCTCTGGATTGTGCTGATTTACAGCAAAGACATTGCCAAGAAGCCCCTTCCTCACCCCCACCTCCCCAAATACTTCTTTCAGCCATGGACAGAGGTGTGTGTGTGTGTGTGTGTGCGCGCGCGTGCGCGCGTGTGCCTGTCTGTCTGTCTGCCTGTCCGTCTGTGTCTCTGTGTGCATTTCTGTCTGTCTCTCTCCTGACTGCCTTCCTGTCCTAAAGTGGAGGTTTAAACCCCACCTGTGCCACTCACCTGCTGTGGATCTAGAACAAGTCACGGAAACTCTGTGAACCTCAAGTTCACTATTAAAACATGTTAATGATTCCACCCTGCTTATAGGGCTGTGGTGAGGAATCAATGAAATGATGCATGTAGGGGACCTGGCACCATTCCTGGCACAGAGTAGGTGCTCAAAACACAGCCAGCATTGTTGTCCAATGGCTCAGGAGCTGAGGAGACGGAGGACACTGTCCCTGGTGGGGGGCACCGGCCATCTGTCCTCCACAAGCTGTTGCTCATGGGCTGCCTCTCTGCTCCCCTTCCTTGCCTTATTAAGCCAACTGACGGCTCTGTTTGGCTTCAATTTGCCAGCAGTGGCTCCCCATCCATCTTTCTTAGCACAAATTGAGGCTTAATTCCTCTCTGATTTCACACATAGATAAAAATTAATGTGAGAGAGGCACAGAGCCCAACTGCCCTATCGTTTGGATTTTTTCCTTTTGTTAAAAAGCAAAGAAGAAAAATTCTGAAGGTACTTGGGGGAACAACACTGCAACAATCAAATCTCGGAATGTGTCATCAGGCCTCATTTGCTTTCAGATTCCCCTGACTCTGAATGCCTGGAAGGAAGGAATAATTTATTATTATTCCCAGTAGTCTCCTTGTTCTTGGCTCATGCCCTGGCACATAGTAGGTGCTCAGTTATTACAGGCGACCTATGCTCTCCTGACCACCATTGGAACTTTTGAGAATCTAATAGGGCTTTGCTCTCTTGAGAGCTGAGGATGGTCAAGGCTATGCCTAGAGGTACAGGGACAGTGTGACATAACCCAGAGCTCCTCAATCTATAATGTGTGTGCGAATCACACAAGGGCATGCTAAAATGTAGATTTTGATTTAGCTGGTCCGGTAGGGGGTCCATGATTATGCATTGGTAATCATCTTGCTGGTCTGTAGACCACGCTTTGAGAAAAACAACTCAAGAGAGAAGGGCTCTGGACTCGTTTCAATTTCTGTCTGGTGACTTTGGGCAAGTGACTTCACCTCCATGAGCCTCTGTTTCCTCATCTGTAAAATGGAGGTAATGGTTCTCATCATGTAGCATTGCTGTGAACATTTACGGCAGCCCTGGCAACGTCTCAGTATCTATTGACTGGGTTCAAAATGTGGCAGCAGGCACACGAAAAGCACAGACACAGAAGAAGAAAATAGATAAATTCCACTTTGTCAACATGAAAAGCTTTTCTGCATCAGCGAACACTATCAAGAAGTGAAAAAACATGGGGCGCCTGGGTGGTGCGTCGGTTAAGCACCTGACTCTTGGTTTCGGCCCAGGTTGTGATCTCAGGGTCCTGGGATTAAGCCCTGAGTGGAGTTGGGCTCTGCGCTCAGCAGGGAGCCTGCTTGTGGAGTCTCTCTCTCCCTCTCCTTCTGCCCCTCCCCCTGCTCATGGTCTCCCTCTCTCTCAAATAAATAAATTAATTAAAAAAAAAAACAAGTGAAAAAACAACCCACAGGGTGGGATGAGATATATGCAAATCACATTCCTGATAAGGATCTAACATCCAGAATATATAAAGAACAACAATAAAAAAACAAAAAGTTAAAAAAAAACAGGCAAAAGACTTGAATAGGTACTTCTCTTAGGAGATCTACAAAATGGCCAAGAAGCACAGAAAAGTTGCTCAGCATCATTAGCCATCAGGGAAATGCAAATCAAAGCCACAGTGAGCAAGCTTCATGCCCACCAGGACAGCTAGGATCATGAAAACAAAACATAATAACACAGTAAGTGCTGGCGAGGATGTGGAGAAGTCGGAACTCTCATACAAGCCAGGTGGGAAAGCCAAAAGGAGAAGCCTCTGCGGAAAAGAGTTTTACAATTCCCTAAAAAGTTAAACACAGAACTGCCATATGACCCAGTGTTTCCACTCCCAGGTGTGGACCCAGGAGAAACGAAAACATAGGTCCACACAAAAACTGGTACACAGAGGTTCACAGCAGCGTTACTCATCATCGCCAAAAAGTGGGGAAAACTCCAGCGTCCACCAATGAATACGCTGATAACCACACACGGGCATATGGCTCAGCCACAAAAAGGAACAAGGTACTGACCCATGCTACAGCATGGGTGAATCTCAAACACACGATCCTGAGCGAAAGAAGCCAGTTGCAAAAGACCACGTATTGTATGATCTCCTTTACACGAAACGTCCAGAATAGGCATGTCCGTTGACACAGAAAGCATGTTGGTGGTTGCCAAGCATTGTTGGGGGGAGGGGAAAGTGGGGAGCGAGTGCTAATGGGTACAAGGTTTCCTTCTGGGGTGATGAAAATGTTCTAGAACTACAGAGTGGTGATGGTTGCATGGCGTTTCAGATGTGCTAAGTGTGGCTAATGGTAAATTTTAGGTGATGTGTACTTTTTCACAAACTAAAGATTTCAACGGCAGCGGCTGTCTGTCTTGGGGGCAGTCTCTTCCCCTGGGCTGTGCGCCTTTCCCTAAGGTCAGTCTAATGCCCTGGGGTTGTTGTCTTGCCCCTGAGGGAACTATCCATGTCTGGTCCGGCGAGGTGGGAGTGTACCTGAACAGACGGGCTCCTGGCTGCTCCAGTGTGGCTTGGAGGCGTTCATGCAAGTTAGCGTCTTGGCGCCCTGGAGCTCATAGCCCAGGTGGCAGTGGAAGTGGGCCACCCCGCCCGGGTGCAGGTCCATCACCGTGACATCCCCATAGTCGGGCCGGCGGGGAAAATTGCAGCTCAGCATGAAGGCTGGAAGAAATGCAAAGGCAGACGGTTATTCCTTAGAAGCGGGGAGAGGAAGAACATGACCCACATCCTGGGAGCCAATTTGTGCTGAGGAGAAAAGATAAGGCACCTGTGGACTCCAGAGCACGGGCGGGGGGCAGTATGTGGGTATTTTTGGAACTCTCGTTGATCATATGATGAGGAGACCGCCAGATTGGCACTTTTTCTGGGCTCCAAGGTCCCTACCCTGTCTAACCAGAGACCACAGGTTTGGGGTGAAAAATGAGTTCCCACACCTCTTGTGAGCCTCTCTCCATGTGGACACAGAACGGCCTTTTCCTTGGGTGTAGGAGGGGCCACATGACTCAGGTAAGTTTAGTCCTACCAGCACGAACATCTTCAGTGTTTGTTAAAAATGCACACACGCTTGGACCAGAACTAGAATAGGCAGCTCTTCAAGAAATACTAAAGGATAGGACAGCCTGAAAATAACCGTCCTGGCACACACAGGCGTGGCCTTTGGAGGAGACCAATGTGAGTTTATGTTCTTCCTCCATCCCTTAGAAACTGTGGGACCTTGAGAAAGGGACACAGTGCCCCGAACTTGGCTTTCCTCATCTTTCCAGTGGAGTTGACAGTCGTCCCCACCTCACCGGTGGCAGTAAGGATTAAGCAGGAAACACCGTGGAAGAGCCTCCTTAGTCCAACATCTAGCTGGGGGCTGTAGAAGGCTCTAGGTGGCCGTGCTGAGCTCCTCAATTTTCCTAAGAGGATGTGAAATCCATCCTAGCTGCCCCTTTCGGCTGTGTGGTCTGATCACTCCCGCTGCATGAGGTATCAGTGATCCCAGAACTCACTGGGAGGATTACATCCAACCCAAGGACTCTACCAGCTATTTCTTCACCCCCATTCTGTAACGAACAAAGACAACAGTGGGTTGTCTCAGTCTTGGAAAGTGGTGATGAGGCAGGTACTCTCATAGACACTCATCCCCCTGTTTCAGAAACATCCAAGGGCAAAGTCTCAAGAGAACTGTTTTTCCAGATGTTCAGTCAATATGATGCCAACATGGACGGTGCCCAAATATCCAGATGTGTGAGGGCGGACTCCACTCTCCATGCAGGTATCTGGCAAGGACAAAGAGGAGCTTCTGGCTCAGGGAAGTAACCTGAGGTCATGGGAAGGGCTCCAGTCGTAGGTAAACGGGATGAGAGGGAGAGAGAGAGAGAGAGAATCAGCCAGACAGAAGGAAGGAAGAATGGAGGGAAGGAAAGAAGAGACGGAGAGAAGGAAAGGAAGAAGCAAAAGAGGCAAAAAAAGAGGGAGGGGACCAAGAAGGAAGAAGCAAGGGAATGAGATGAGCAAGACGAACACAAAGCAAGAGAGGAGTCTCAGAAACAGACAAAAAGGAAAGAAAGAAACATTGCAGAAGAAAAGAGAGAGCCGAATCCCCCCGGGGGCTGAGGCTCTTTACCGGAAGGCCATGGGCCCCCCTGGGGATTCACTTATAAAATTCAGGAGCCGCGGATCTGAATGGGAAAAAGTGGTTTGCTGGTTTTCCATTTACCTTTAACCGAACTGTGGTATCTCCTTCAACCACATATGTAGGCAACAGACTGTGACCTATTTGTAGAACCAGTGACTTCGTCACCAAGAGAAATCACAGATATTTTCATATCATAGTAGATATCTTGGCATATTTCTTATGTTCCTCAATACTTTGGAATTATAGTAATTATCAGAGCTGCCGGGGGAGATTATTATTTAATGTGTTAATAAAGAAGCACAGGGATTATGACATCGCAGATTAAAACAATATTTTGACAACTGTAATTCAATCTGACTGGTTTCGTTTTTAATTGTGTAGGTTTTATTTTATGCTTTCTTTTTTTTAAAGATTTTACTTATTTATTTGAGAGAGAGAGAATGAGAGATAGAGAGCACGAGAGGGAAGAGGGTCAGAGGGAGAAGCAGACTCCCCGCCGAGCAGGGAGCCGGATGTGGGACTCGATCCCGGGACTCCAGGATCATGACCTGAGCCGAAGGCAGTCACGTAACCAACTGAGCCACCCAGGCGCCCCTTATTTTATGCTTTCAAAAACATGATTCTGAGAAGGGGTCCAGAGGTTTTGCCAAACTGCCAGAGGGATCCCTGGCATGAAAAGTTTCAGAATCCTTGGCTCCAGAGGGAAACTGAGACAAAGAGCTATGGCTCCTCCCCCGCCTCCATTAGCCTTGGTGCAAGCTTACCCTGATAGTGCAGCTGAAAAGTCCCAAGGACGTCATCCTGGAAGGTCCGGAAGTAGACAGAGATGGTGTTGGTGGGACTTCGGATAACCTGTCCCTCTACCAGGAGAGTCTGGTTGGCCAGGACAGTCAGGGTGGGACCATCCACCCCGCGGATGGAGAGCAGCTCGCCGTCAGACAGGTTCACGCTCTTCACCTGCGGACAGGCAGGGGCAGACAGAGAGAAACTCTGAGTTGTGCTTGAGACAGAGTCCTTCCAGGCTGTGCAGCTGCCAGAGGACCCCAGATGATGCCAACACAGCAGCCTTCAGCCAGCCCCTAGTCAAGGGGACAGACAAGCCCCCTTGGAAACATCTAGAGCCCTGGAAACATCTAGACTCCCCTCATCTCCCCAAAGACTGAGGGACCAGCATGAACCCAAGCTGCAGGGCAAAGGTACTGCAAAAATCTGTAAGTGTCCATGGATGAGTCCTGTATGAGAGCCTCCTGCACACTGGCAGCTGGGGTAGGTGCTCCTGGAGATGGTGGGGGGAGGGCAAGGGCTTGATCAGCTTGTGCCTGAAGCCCAAACTCCAGGAAGACAGAATAAGGCATTCCACCAGAATGTAAGCTCCATGAAGGCAGGCATTTTTCCCCCCATTTGTTCCGTGTCCCCAGTGCCCAGAAGAGTGCTTGGCACATAGCAGGTGCTCAATAAATATGTATGTAGGTTGAATTCATTCTTCCCCTTTCTGCATGAACTGGTAAGAGGGAATGGGGGGCTCATTTCCAGGGCATTCTCAAAGCCACTCTCTTATGCTATAAAACGGTGGCTCTAACTCCCAGAACTTCCGCAAAGAACTGCATACTGGATTTATATACAAGTGGAGTAGGGGCTGTGTGGGAACTTTAGTCAGTTCCCAGTGCCCAGTTTGGATTTTTATGCCTCTCCTAGTGAGGTCTGGGATCCCAGTCCCTCTGCCCCTCACCCAGGCAGGGCTGGCCACCCCCACGAGCCTTTCTTCGTGCAGATTATACACCTTACTCTTTTTTCCTTTTTGATGAACTCCTATTCATTCACCAAAGCCCCACTAAAATTGCCCTTCCCTGTGAGACCTTCCCTGCTACCAAGAAGCCTGCCCGTCTGTGCACTGTGATGCTATAACATCCCCTATAAATACCCACAAGAGACCTTTTCAAGCATTCTAATGTGTTCTAAGTTTGTCTGTCCTCAATCATAAAACAGTGAACTCCTTTAGGGGAGGTACTGCATCAGTTTGCACACCACCATATCCCCCCTATTGGGCTATCCCCCAATAGCCAACTCTGTACCTGGTAAAGAGCTCCATACAGTGTTAGACACCAAGTGGAAGGAAAGGGACCATCGAGTGCCAGATTCAGATGGACTGTAACTTTCCTCCAGCTCATTTTAATTCCATGAACATTTATGAAGTACCTACTATGTGCCACACACTGTGCTAAGCTCTGGGGGCTGGAAAGACCACAGGTTCTGCTGCTGAGGGGGCTTACCTTTTATCCTTCCCATGCAAGTCAGAAAAACTTCCCTAAAACAAAGTTCTGGTTAGGTCACAACCAGCCCAGTTCAAAAACTTTTGAGGGCTTTTTATTGTCCATTAGAAAAAGATACATATCCAGACCTCCAACCTTGCCCTGGAAGGGTCTGCCACCACGAAGTGGTATGAGCTTTCTTTTCCAGTCCTCTCCTGTGGGGCAGTGAACTGGACAGTTCCCCACTCCCAGGCACCCCTCCTTGTTCCTTTTTTCAAAAATGGGGGGGTGGTCAATTGGGGAAGGCCAGGAACTAGGGTGAGGATAATTGGTAACATACACCGAGCAAGGCTCTCTGGCTGAATGCTCTGGGCGTTGTCATATTTGTACCACCCTGAAAATCTGTAAAGTAGTAGCATTATCATCTCTATTTTCCTGATGGAGAGACCGAGGCTCAGAGAGGTAAAGTCCCTTGCCCAGAGTCACACAGTTTTCACGGGTAGAGCTGGGACTTAAACCCAGATGTTTGAGCACTCTGCCACTCTGCTTTTCCATTCTTCACTTAGAGGCAAAATTTTATGAATCAAATTGAATTGGTGGGGCTTCCCTATGTGTGTGTGCGTGCATGTGTGCATGCGTGTGTGTGTCTGTGTCTGTCTGTGTTTGATACAGGGTATAAGAGGACTTTCCTTCTGAGTATAATGCCTCACAATTTATCAACAGGTCCCCCTCCTCCACATGTGCCTATTTCAGCTGTGCATTGAGTTGGGAACTCCTATTCATTCATTCATTCAACTCCTATTCATTCAGCTCAAGTTGCCCTGCTTGAAGGCAAAGAAGGAACCAAACCAGTTAGGATGATAACAGTAAGCCTGAGTCAGACAACCCTCCGGAGACGTCCTGCTAGAAGAGGCAGGCACTATCTGGGCACCTTTCTGCAGTTACCTGGAGCTCCACACCGTAGCCCGTGTAGACCGTCACGTTGTACGTACACTCCAGGAAGCCGCTGAGGGGCAGCGGTGGGTAGTCACTGGAGTCGATGTACCCTTCAGGATCGGAGAAGCTCACACTGCAGGGAGCTGGAGGAAGGACTTTCATTAGGACACAGAGGACAGCTCAGATGTCATGTCTCAGATGGGCTGCGGTGTGGCCCCCGGCTTCTGAGACACCTGAATTCACCTGTCCCCCTCCCTCCCACTGCTGCTAATTTCTCCTTCAGCCCCAGAATCAACATGAAAATCAAAACTGCGAGAGATGACACAGCATGATTGCTTACTCCATACCCCTAGGCACCATCCTACCCGGTGTACAGGGCCCACCCCATTCATCCTTGCAGGGCCTGACATTTCATCCCCATTTTAGAGATACATAAACCGAAGCTCAGAGAGTGGCAGTGTCTGGGCCAAGCTCACACAGGGAGCAGGATTCAAACCCAGAGCTTATACTTTTTAAGGAGAGGCCACAATGCATTTGTCCAAAACCCACCTACGATTGTCTGTCTTCTCTGTTTGAAGACAGAAAAGAAGACAGAAGTAAGACTGGGACACAGAAGTGCATTTTACCAAGTCTGGAGAAGTACCTGTAATGGTCAAAGTAAAAGCACTTTGAGGGGCGCCTGCTGGTGCAGTGGTTGGGCGTCAGACTCTTGCTTTTGGCTTGGGTGGTGGTCTCGGGGTCTTGAGATCGAGCCTGGCATCAGGCTCCACCTCAGGGGGGAATCTGCTTGAGGATTCTCTCTTTCCCTCTGCCTTTGCCCCTCCCCCCATGCGTGCGCACATGCACGCGTGCGCGCTCTCTCTCAATAAATAAATAAATCTTTAAAAAAAGGCACTTTGAAAAGGCTAGGGCCTTCAGGCAGGTTAAAGGATTCTATTCCAAGCTGAAAAGGGTTTGAATCCCACTCTTGAGCTGTGTGGCCTCGGGCAACTTGCTTGATGTCTCTGAGTCTCAATTGTCTCATCTTTAAAATGGGGATATTAATTCTGAGACACAGGGTCAAGCTCACAGTCAGTGCTCAATAGATGGTAAGTGAAGGTGGGGCCTGGATCTCCCTGGCCCGGCTCCCGCCATGCCTTGCACAGAGTGGGTGCCTCGTGGCTTCAGCAGGAGGGCTGGAGGGTCTGGGGGCTGCCTACCCGGGGCCTGCTCAGTCGTGATGACTGTGGTGGTGATGATGGTGGATGTCGTGGTCTCCTGGCTCTCCTCTGAGGCTGACCCGGTCAGTTCGTTCTCGCCTTTGTCCATTAAGGTCATGGGACTGGCATCTTCTGGGGGAGCCTCGGGGGCATCATCAGGCGCCGCAGGCTTCCCGGGGTCGGGCCTCTGGGGGAGCGTGTGGGCCATGTAGGGCTGCGAGGTGAAGGGGGAGATCTGCAGGGGTGCGGGCGTCGTGGGGGCCGCACCTGCCTTCCGGTCCAGCCAGAGGGGCTCCTCGGAGGCGGCGGGCTCGGCGTCTCCCGGGGGGCGGGGCTTCTCGGTGGCGGAGGAGAGGAGCCCCAGGACCGAGGATGCAGGCGGGGACGCCGCCCTCTGGACAGCTGCCGTGGAGGTGGCTTTGGGCCGCAGCTGTTTCCTGACCGAGTTCACCTGCTTGAGCGAAGGCAGCTTCTTCCCGGAGGGGAGGGCGCGCTTGGTGGCGGCCTCTTCCGGCAGCCGCGTGGACAGGGCGGCCGAAGGGACTGCCCCTTCTAGCCCCGGCTCTCGAAGATGTTCCCCCGACTGCGCTGGATTCAGAGGGGCCAAAGTCACTTTCTCTTCGAGGCTCTCTTTGCTCAGACTGCTGCTACTCCCCAGCGCTCCCGAGGGCAGAAGGGAAGCACCCGAAGGGCCAGTGTCTCCTTCCCGGGGCCCATCTGGGGAAGAGGAGAAAAGACACCTGTTAGCTTGGGGCCGGTGGTGGGGGTTAGGTCCTCCAGCTCCTGACGCGGGGGCCTAGGGTGGCGCCCAAAACTTGCCAAGACGCCAGGACAGACATGGGGGCTGCCCCCTTCCCTCTCTCCTGACCCTCCCTCCCTCTCCTTTTTTTTTTTTTTCTCTCTCTCCCGCTTCCTTCCTTTCTTCCTTTTGCTGACCATGGAGACTTACAGCTGATCCTGCCAGGCCCCAGCTAAGCATTAGGGTTACAGAAACCAAGGGTACAAGAGTCTCACATGCCAGTTGTATATACTGAAAGGGGTAATAGGAAAGGAGAAATAATCATATTCGGTGTGATAGATGTTTAGAAAGAGAGAAGCTCTGCATGCTAACAGAGCAGAGACAGCAGGCCTCTAACTCTGTGGGGCAGGACCACTGTGTACAGTTGGGCAGGTTGTTCATTACACAAACATCTCCCACGAAGGATGAGTTGTAACAAGCCCTCGCTCTTTTCTCCAAGCTGCGTGCCCTGGCTCAGGACTATATTGTCCTAGGATTGGGGGATGGCACTTCTTCTTCTTCTTCTTCTTCTTTTTTTTTACTGAATAATTAAAAATTGACCTATGGGAGACACAGAAAGATTTGAAGATTCAGAATCATGAGACAGGTTCAGAACAGAGGGATGCAGGAGGAGCGTGGAGGCCTGGTTGAGGGGAGCGCAAAAGAGGAATACGAAGGGGAGCAGATGGAGGGTGACTGGAGAGAAAGCTGGTAGGGTAGGGTGGTCGCAGGGCCAGGTCTTGCTGGGCACTGTATACCCAGCTACCTGTGATTTATTTTTGCCTTGAATGTAAAAGCACCTAGTAATTTTATTTATTTTTTTAAAAAAGATTTTATTTATTTATTTGACAGACAGAGAGCACGAGCAGGGTGAGCGGCGGGCAGAGGCAGAGGGAAAAGCAGGCTCCCTGCTGAGCAGAGAGTCCGACGCAGGACTCGATCCCAGGACCCTGAGATCACGACCTGAGCTGAAGGCAGACGCTTAACCGTCTGAGCAACCCAGGCGACCCCACCTGCTGTCAATTGCAAGCTAGTACATGGCTTTGACGTCCCCGAGCCTCAGTTTCCCCAGCTGTAAAACGGGGCTATTGCTCCCCGTTTCCCAGGGTCGTCATTGTTCAATAGCTTGACATAGGTAAAGCGTACCTGCATACGTGCACCTATGGGTGCCCCTCCCACAGTGAGTGCTTAGCGCGCGCCAACTGCTGTCACTGTCTTTGCTATTGTCATTGTATTCGCGCCCTTCAGTGGGAAGCCGGAGCGGTCAGAGCATCCCCGATGATGATCTCGAGATAGAGAGGAATTACATCCTGGGCTGGAAGCCCTGGGACGGATAGCTGTCCTTGTCGATTTTCTGCAGACAGACACTCACTCAGCCACAGTCTCTGGGCCCTTCAGCACTGTCATTTAAATTTATTTCCGCCGCCGTTGGAAAGGCTCATTTACTTTCATGGAGTCGGCCGGCAGTGGCTTAATCTATATAGACTGCAACAGTGTGCAATTGGCATCGACAAATGTTCCTGTTGGGTCACATTGATTACTAGCCAGTGTGCGTGCCAGGCTCCCAGTTGTGCCAGGGCAGGAAGCGGCCCGGGGGAGGACAGGGAGTGTGTGCCTGACCCAAGGGCAGATCAAGGTCATTCAGGGGCCCAGCAGGTTTCCTGGTCCAAGGTGGGAAGCATCAAGGCTTCAGAGATAGACCTGGATTCAAATCCTGCCTTCAACAGTCCCCTCGCTACGTGAGCCTGGGCAAATCCATTAAGCCTCTTCTGCTTAACAGAGCTACCCCATCTACCTCATAGGATTAGATCAGACGTGGGTCTGCTCCAGAGCTGTGCTTTTTGTGTGTACTGTCACTTTTATTAAATGATTGATGCTGACCATCTCTGTAGACTGTGCAGCGAGGGAAAAGTAAAGGGGCCAAAAGAGGAAGGTGGAGGAGGGGTCGGGACACCTGGCTCCCAGGCTCCAGCTGTGGTTTGATGCGCGGAGCTTGGATGCACCCGGGGTTGGGGGACCCAGATGGTGCTCCAACTTTGGCCGATCTTCCCTAGCGTAACCGTGTGGGTTTCATCTTCTCTCCATCTCCTCTGTCTGTGTCAAGTGGGCAGCCAGACTAGGTCACACTAGTCAGGTCCTCCAGCTCGGACTCTGTTGATCTGGGGAACGATCAGGTAATTGGCAGTTATTCTTTGAGTCTTTTGCTAATCTTGCCGGAGAGGGCGGAGTGAGTGCTTTGATCCTGATCCTGGCTTGTGAGTTTTGTTGGGTCCTGTGGCTATATTAGTTTCTGCCAGTCCTTTCACAAAAATGTCCCCTTGATTACAAGTGACGGAGTTGAGGGAGGGGAAGGATGGAATACGAATGATTTAAAGCACATCGGCGTGCCCTTGGCCGTTATTACAGCGATACTTATAACATTTTATTTTTGATTGCTTTGCTGAGTGCTGCGTATGTGCCAGGCATGTGCTAAATGCTTTTTTACCCATTACCTCATTTTATTCTTTCTCAACCTTATTAGGGAAAAATTATTCCTATTTTACGGATGAGCAAAGTGAGGCTGTGGGATACTGAGTTAACCTTCCAAGGTCACACAGCAAAGCTGGGTTTCCAGCCTCAGTTTTCCTGATGCCAAAGACCATGCTAGCAGTTCTGTTAAGTATCACGGGGTACTGTTATCACTGACAGCCTCTCGTCCTTCAGCTTGAAGCGGCGGCCCCTCCAAAGACCACCCCCCAATCCTCAATTTTTTTTTTTTTTTGCTTCCCTGCTGGGGGGGGGGCTGTAGTGTTTTTCAAATCTCCCAAATGATGCCCTTCACCCCTCCATGCGTTCCTTGTTAAAATACGCATTTGTTAGTCTCCCCTGCCAGACCCCTGACACCTGAATCTCCAGGGGTAGAGCTTGAAATTGGAGGACTGTTAGAGCCCCTCCCATGACTCTTATTATCGGAGTGATCAGAGGAGCTCATTCTGGAACCTGTGATCTTTCCTGACTTTCTACTCCGTCCTTGTTAGTTTTGCCTTCGAGGTGTTGTAAGTTGCAGGTGGCAGGAACCTGGGTGTAGGTCTGGGCTGCAGGTGATGACGCTTTCCAAGGCCTGTGACCTCCCCTGGCCACCCCAGCCTGTCGAGATCCAACGCAGCCCACAAGAGAAGGAGGGAATGCAAGAGAAAGGAGTCCATGATCAGCTTCTTCCCCACAGCCCCTGCGCCCAGCTCTGGGTTCCCCAGGGTAAAATGGGTGCTAACGATAGCAGCAATTAGGCCTTTTTGGAAGTAAATCTGGCTGGGCTGAGTCAGCTCTTTCCCACTGAAGACCTAACTGCCAAGGGGAGTTGCGGATCCACCAGATAAATTTCCCTCCCTGCCCCCATGTTGCCTCCTCCTCAGGGTTTACACGTGGGATCTTGCTGGCTGGCTCCAAACTCAAGGCCTTGTTCAAGACAGATGAGTGTCTGTCTGTGGGCTGCAATGTTCGCAGCTGGAAGGCCTCGTTCTCAGCCGGGATGCTGGACGAGGGAGTGCCATGCAAAACCAGGTCCCAGTGGGCATTAGTCAGAATTGGATTCCAGGGCCCTCTCAATCCAGAGACTTAATCACTTGCTCTACGCAGGCCGGCTTTTCCCTGGGGCCCCAATGACCACTGGATTAAATGAACTCTTCTCTGTCACAGCCTAAAGTTTTCAATCACCCTAGTCACATCTGGCTGATTCTGCCTTTATCATGTGCATTCAATGCCCCACTCCTGTGCTGCCCATCAATTAATAACTGACAGCGTTGGGTGCCGACTTTCTCTGCTGGTTGTTGATACTCAGGATGAGAGAGTCAACGCTCTTGGGTACGGTCGGTCCCTGCACTACAGGAAGACAGACGCACACCGATAACCCAATACGGATATCCAACAGAAGAGACGGGCCTTTAATTAAATACATAGAGAGGTTGCTTTCCCATCTGCAGATGGCACACTGAAGACGACTGAACATTTGTTCTCCCATTGAAGATGGGGAGGGAGCACCTCTCCCGTTCTCCCTCTCTCACTTTGATGGGAGAGATGGGGAGATTAGACTGGGAAGCATCCCATTAGAGTCGAAAATGCACCATGAGCTTTGAAGGCTGACGGTTTGTATTTGAGCCGCACGGCGGCAGCAGAATGACTGGTGACAGCCTGTCATCGCGCGGGCACACAGTGATGGAGCGGGAAGCCCGGGAAACCACAGCTGGGGAATGCTTCTGCTATAATGTGCAGTGAAAAGAGCAAGACGTAAAATTCTATGGTGTGTATGAAAACGACGGGAACAACCAACTAAAACAAATTGCAATGCAGAGCTGGTGTTTTGTTTTGCTTCGTTTTACTTAAAGCTATACCAGACTTCATTTTTTTTTAATTTTTAATTTAAACTTAAAAGTTTTTTTAAACTAACATACACCGTTCTATTTGTTTCAGACGCACCACATATTGATTCAACAATTCTACGCCTTCCTCAGTGCTCACCACAATAAACGGCATCACTGTCTGTAATGTTGTTACTATATATATAATTTAGAGAGAGAGAGTGGGGGGCAGAAGGAGAGGGAGAGAGAATCTTTTTTTTTTTGTAAAGATTTTATTTACTTATTTAAGAGAGAGAGAGAAAGCACAAGGGGTGGGGAGGGGCAGAGGGAGAGGGAGAAGCAGGCTCCCCGCTGAGCAAGGAGCCTGATGTGGGATTTGATTCCAGGACCCTGAAATCATGACCTGAGGGGAAGGCAGATGCTTAACCGACTGAGTCACCCAGGCGCCCCTAGAGAGAGAATCTTTAGCAGGCTCCACACCCAGCTCGGGGCCTGATGCTGGGCTCGATCTCATGACCGTGAGATCGTGACCTGAGCCAAATGCTCAACCCACTGAACCACCCAGGCGCCCCTACAATATTACTGTAGGAGTGGCACCAGCAACGTGGCCCTGGATGCCTCTGGGTGGGTTTTTTTCCTTCTACTTTTTGGTATTTTCCAAAATGTGTATAATAAATATTTAATACTATCTTAAGTGAAAAAAATATTTATGGAAAAAGCTGGGTTTAACTGCTGCCTTTAGCACCTAGTGGTGGAGAGGCTGAGGGAAAGCAGACACACATTTGCTATCACAGCACTTCATTCACTAACTGAGTCATGGAACCCCTTTGGGTCTCACGGTAGGGATGATGATAATTCTTCCCTCATCGGACTGTTCACAGGGAAGACTTTTAGGAGGCGGGACTGGCCGATGCATCATTTGGTGTATTTTTGGTAAAGAGGACTACGAAACTGTTGGTTACTAGCCTAATCCTCATTAATAATGAGGATTATTAAACCACCATTCTGCTGTCACATTCCTCAAGAAGAAATTGCCCAACAGGGACAACATCAATAATGAAATATCACATCTTCAAGACTCATGGTTACAAACTGCCCAATGAGAGGACGTGAGGTTCAGAGAGGGGAAATGGGCTGCCCAGGGTCACACGGCATGTTAGTAGCAGGAAGGAAACCAGGCTATCTGAGGCTTGAAAAACCACACCGGAACATATCAAACACAATCAGAAACAAAACCAGGATCATCTGGACTGCCCCGAAGAACGTTGGTTGGTCCTATGCCTTCTGCGTCTTTCTTTGTTGGGGGACAAGGGGCTGCGCTGTGCACTATAAGACAGGGAACAGCATCCTTGGCTTCCACCCACTTGGTCCAAGTAGCAACCCCCATGACCGCCCCCCTGTGTAACAAGCAAATGTGATTTTAGACATTGCCAAATGTTCCCCCAGTGGGGGCAAAATCTCCTCTGATTGTTAACCACTGGCACTGCCCTCAGCACTGAGAAGAACTTCCCTCCCATTCCTGGAGCTGATTGGCTTTGTTTTACTTGGATCATTGATTTCTAGGGTAGAGAAGATCTTAGCTTAATTCCCATTTCATCGATTAAGGAAATTGAATTGAGTGAGGGCTGAGTTTCTTTCTCCCATTCACATTTGATCATTCATTCATTCATTCATTCATATGTTCAGTGAGCATCTAGTATGTGCCAATGCTGGACCAGGCAACAGGCACTGGCACCCAGAGGTCCACCTTGGATAATAAACAGCCGGAACTGCTGAACACAACCCATTCTTCACAGCCAGGGAGAACCCAGCTCACTCAATCCTGCAGGAATGAGGACCCTCAGGTAGACTCACTGGGCCGCTCCCACATGGACTTGGAGCAGACTTTCTGGGGGCAGAAAGGGCAGAGGTGGGGGGTGGGCTTGGGGGCAGGGGGTTTCATCTACTGTCTCATTGGCAGCCCTGTACCTGTGTGCCCACGTGGACAATACTGATATTCAAATGGTGAATTACACTCCACAAAGCGTATTGCCTGTTGTCATCTCGTTCCCACTGTAAGCCATCCGGTCAGATTGGTATTTTCTTTTTCCCATTTTATAGATTAAAAAAAAAAATCAAGGCTCAGAGAGAGGACGTGACTTGTCTCAGATCATGGAGCAAACTGGGGTAAAGTTGGATACTTTCTGACATTGTTTCTGTGCTCATTCCTCTTTCCCTCACCCTCAAATACTTTTTCCCTATAAAATAATTTAAAAAATGTAAAAATACCTGAAAGATATGAAATCAAAAGTGTTAAGTACTGCCCCTCCCCTGCCCCATCTACCAATCCTGCCTTCTAAGGGGAATCAGTGTTAGTAGGATTTTGTTTAATCTCCCAATAAAATGTACTGATGTAAAAAAAGTATTTTTTACCTTAAGAGGTGTGTTAGCACATAGGGGTGTAGAGAATTGCTTGTGTTCCAGGCTCAGCCCGCTGCTCACTGCCATGAGATCCTGGACAGTCACTTCCTTTCTCTGGACCTCACTGTTCTCGTCTGTAAGGTGGGATTATACCAGTCTTATCCCTTAGTGGCGTTAGAGAGTAAAATGAAATCACAGGGATAAAGCACAGCGCTCACAGTACAGCCTGACAGCTCTCATGAGCCCTGCTGTCACTTTCTATCTGAGCATTCTCAGAGTTATTACATTGTATATATTGCTCTGTCACTTACTAAGAAATGCATTTTGAAATATTCCAGTCACTCAAAAAGAATTAAAGAGTAAGGCAACAAATATCCATGTGTATACACCTTTCGCTTAAGAAATAGAATTCTACCAGTATGTCAAAGCCTGTTGCCCTTCCTACCATATGCTCCTTCTCCTTCTCCACCCCTAACTACTGTCCTGAATATGACCTTCAGCATGACCATTTATCAGGTGCACTATTACCATCTTGCTGTTATTTATTGTTGGTATCTATTTATTACACGTCAGTTTCTCTGAATAATATGTGGTATGTTTTAAAACTTTATATAAATGCAGTCATCTCTAGTGAATCCTTCAACACCGTGCTCTTTTTTTTTTTCCTTTTTTTCTTTCTCAACACTTTGTGAGGGGCATCTGTGTTGATAAGTGTAGTTTTGATTGATTCATTTTTCACTGCTCTATAGTATTCCTCTGCATTAGTATCTCCCCACCAATCTCTCACTTAAAATCCATCATGATTAACTTTTCATGTCAGCACCTATATGGTCATTTCATTTTTTAAATAGCTACACTGAAATATAAACACATTATTATTATTATTATTTTAGGTAGGCTCTATGCCAACATGGGGCTTAAACTCATGACCCCGAGATCAAGAGTTGTGTGGTCCACTGACTGAGCCAGCCAGGCACCCCTAAACATATATGTTATTGAACCAGGCTCTTATAGATTAATATTTAGGTTGTTGCCATTCTCCTCCCAAATAACACTGAAATAGATACATATCTTTGGTGACTGTGTCTAGCTAATTCTTCAGGAGAGTGTCTTAGAAGTTGCATTGATCATCCAAACAGTTTATGCATTTAAAATGTTGACTGACACTGAAAAAGTACCTTCCAGAATAACCTGAACCTATGTACCCTGCTGCCAACTCTACCTGAGAGCACCGTTGCTCTCCAGCTTTATCAATATATTGCTTTCGGTGACTTTCAACTAGACCATCTGAGTTGGAATGTGGGGTAGCTGGACCCAGGCAGGGTGTGCTTCTAAAATGCCCGCCAAGACTTGCTGTCAACTCCATCCACCAACCACTCACAGGCTGGCACTGAGTAGGGATGGGTCCAGAGTACCCCTCCCCTCACCTGTGCCTTAGTCTCCCCCTCAGGCCCTGTCCCAGAACTAGGGGGGGGCGGGGCTGCACCTCCTGGTGCCCCCAGGTCAGTGCAGTATTACTCCTGAGAACTTTGCACTTGCTCCTCCCTGTTTGTCATGTTTTGCTAAAGAATGTATGCGAAGAATTGTTTATTTTCGCCAAAGCAGATGTAATAAATGCCACGCTTTAGCAAAACAAACAAACAAAAACAAATAAAATAAAATAAAAGCCCCCAAATGGTTCAAGGTGCTCTTTGATTTTCCCTAGTTGCTACTGAAGCTGTCCGAAGTCTGCCCTGACCTTTCTTTCCCCTGCCTCACCACATCTTTACTCAGAAGCATCCAGGAACCCCAGTTCATTTTTACTTTTTATTTTCGAAGATTTTATTTATTTATTTTTGAGAGAGAGAGAGAGAGAGCACAAGCAGGGGGAGGGGCAGAGGGAGAAGTAGGCTCCCTGCTGAGCAGAGAGCCTGATGTGGGCTCGATCCGAGGACCCTGGGACCATGACCTGAGCCGAAGGCAGACACTTATCCGACTGAGCCACCCAGGCGCCCCCAGGAAGTCCACTTTAGGGTGCTTCACTGGTCCATCTCACAATGGCTGGAGTTTAGGTAACAGATCAGGACAGCGATTGGTGGCCAATGAGGGCTAGGAAGAGCGTGTGGTTGCAAAGCGTTCACAGCAAAAGGGGCTCCATCTAAACTGCTAAGGATTTCTAGGTCAATGGGCTGTGTGGTCATGTCCCAAAGTAGAGGGACAGCTATGGTCATGACACCCACTGGGAAGGTACAAAGTGTTCATAATACAAAGTACTGTTGGAGGGAGCAAAAGTCTGGAGACGATGCACCTGTCCATCTACCGGCGGTGGGTTGCATGATTGTAGAAGCCCACAATGGAATACACGCAGGGTTCGAAGGAATGAGATGAAGTCACTGGTGAATAACACGGAGAATAACCTGGCAAGAATGTTCAAAATTATAAATACATCTCTCCTCAACAAGCTCACTTCGGGGAATTTATCCCGCAGAGCGTTGTTCACCCACTTGCAAAATGACGTCCATGCAAGGTTAAGCAATGCCATGCTGTTTGTAGTAGCAAGACTCCAAGGCAAATCAAATATGCACCAGTAAGGTTAAATCAATTATGGAGCATCCAGACGGAGTGCCGTGCAGCACAAGAGGAGAACGGCGAAGCCCTCTGTGGCCCAAAGAGGAGAGGTGGCCAGTTTCTGTTATATCAAAAAGCAACGTGTGCAGAGTTTGCTGCCTTTTGTGTAAAAACGGGGAGAGAAATAAGACTTTATGTCTTTGCTTTGCTACTGTGTGGGTAAAGAAACTTGGAGAGGAGACCCAAGAAACAAATGATGCTGGTACATATTATGCTGGTAGGGGACGTGGGACATTGGAAATAGGATGGCGTGTAAGGGCAGGAAGAGAATTTTCACTATATACCTTTTCACAGATACATATCTATGTATGTATATATGTGTGTGTGTGTGTGTGTGTGTGTGTGTGTGTGTACATATAGAGGTGTATGCATGTGTCTAATAAATAAAATATTACCTGTTCAAAAACCATGTAACTGAACAATAACAAAAAAAGATGGCAGAGTTGTGTGCCAACACAATTCAGTATCAAGTGAAAAAGAAATCGAGGGAGAATCGTGGATATAATAGGTCTCGTGTGAATGGGAGGGATGCATTTGAACAAGGGGATGGGACCGCCTCCACAGAGCAGGATGGCGGCTTGGGGCTGCAGAGGGAATTCCATTTTATTGGGCATCATTTTATACAGTTTGATAAATTTGCAAAATGCATGCTATTTTTGTAACAGTAATAATTAGTAATAATAGTTAATAATAATGATGAACTCCCTGAGCTTTGTCATTCCAGGTTCAGAACATACCCCAGCCTTTCTTGGGGTTTCTAACAGCTCTTGAACTTCCACAGGGGTAGGGTAACCAGCTTCGCTGGAGCAGGGAGTCCCCAAGGAACAACACGCAGGCTCCACCTCTCCATCGCTCCCTTGCTTCCCAAGGAAATGAGGGACCATCTGATTTGAGGTATTAGGGAGGGAGGTATTAGGGATGTCACTGATATCCACTGTGTCCTATTCCCAGGGCAGAGCCGCTGGACTGAAAATCTGGCAGTGGGGTCCTCTCTCTCTCTCTCCAGACTTCTCCACTTGTCTACTTGTGCCAGGAAACGCCAAATCGAAGTCACTTGGAGAGGACAGAGTGTAGGTGTCCAGCAGTGGTCTGCAGCCCAGCTCCACCGGGAATTAAGCTGGTCCCATCTGGCTCTTTTTTCTACTTGACAGTTGGTTGAAATCAGAGGAGAGAATTGAGGAGGTAGGTGAACGTGCCCCCCTCCTCCCTGCCTGCTGCTGACTAATTAGAGTCCAGAGTCTCAGGAGAACCTTCTACTGGGTCTCCCTGTCTTGTTTATTTTACTCAGGTTAAGCACAGGTAACCTGGACCTCACCTAGCCCATCGTGCTCCTCTAGGGAGTACTGCTTTAGTAGTTACATCAGACGGTCCCTGGTGGTCCTCACCTTTGGCAAAGTGGCTGGGAATCTTCCTATATGGGTAGGTCATCCGCCAGAGCAGATTTCCTGCCACATCTCCAAAACTCAATCCCCAATCAGGATTTGTACCAGATGAGCCTTTGGAAATGATCTAATGATCAGATTTTTTAAAGGATTTAATTATTTATTTGAGACAGAGAGAGAGAGAGCAAGCAGACGGAGGGGGAGGGGCAGAGGGCAAGGCAGAGAATCTCAAGCAGACTCCTTGGTCAGTGAGGAGCCTGTCCTCGGGCGGGGCTCGATCTCATGACCCTGAGATCATGACCTGAACAGAAACCAAGAGTTGGACACTTAATCTACTGAGCCACCCAGTCACCCCTCAAATGATCAGATTTTGTGTTTTAAGTTGGCAGCAAATCATTCGGGGTGGGTGGGTAGTACTTTAAAGATATAAAAATCAGGCCATGAAATCACTGCCTAAAGCCCACCAAGAGCTTCTTACCATGCTGAGAATAATATCAAAACTCCCTTCAATGAGCTACAATGCCTTTTGGATTCTGGCCTTGGACCTCCTTCTCCAAAACCACCTTTTACCATATCCCCCCTCAAGCTACAGTATGACCACACACACTTTTTTTTTTTTTTTCCCCTGCTCCTTAAACCTTCCAAATTCTTCCTGTGTCTCAGGGCCTTTGCATGTGTTGTTCCCTCTGCCTCAAATTCTCTTGTGTGTTATCTTTGTTTGGCTGGCTGCCTCTGGTCATTCAGGTCTCAGCTCGTCTTCTCTAAGACACCCCCTCTCCCATCACTTTCTATCTCATTCTCCGCAGACTGCTTACTGCAAGCACAGCTATTTCTGATGATGTGTTTCCTTGTTCTTTGTCTGTCTCCACGAGATGGTCCACACCCAGGCAGCAGGAACAAAGTTGGGACAGGCAATGCATCCTTAATCTTTGGATTCCTGCAGGGCCCATTTGGCAGCCAATGAATATTGAGGGGAGAGGACAAGAGAAAGGGTGCCTTGGGGCATTTAACAAGTGCTTGGGAGCTGATGAAGTTTCCTTCAAATCCAGAAATTCTAGAATTCTGGATGTGGCTGTTCATGGGTGGTGGGGATCAGGGTGCAGACATTACTAACAGAAGATCAAGGGCCCAGGGGTCATCCTGGTGAACGCTACTAGGGTCAGGTCCTCAGCCTTCTTCTGGATCAGCTGTCTTAAGCTCCTTCCTTTTCACCCAATTTTCTCCTCAAGACAAATATGGACAGATTTCTATTCCTGTCCTCCTTCCACCTGGACATGAGTTAACTGGCAGGGAAATGGGTGGCGGGAAAGAGGGAGGAGGTTGGGATCATTCTCTGAATCATCTGTGATTCAACCCCTCCATCATGAGGGCACAGGAAAAGCCCAAGGCTCCCAGCAGATGGTGGCAGGAAGGGCAACTGAGTCCCGGAAGCAAAGCCTTACTTGCATCCTCCCCTAGGCGGTTCACCCTCCGTGGGAGTGGAGGGAGGAGAATCCTCCAAATATGGGATCAAACTAACCGGGATCTAGCAACCATCCCCATCAGCCTCAGACATCCATCACTCTGGAAAAAAGTCATCAAAGGTGATTATTTACAGGGCGTTGCATTTTCGCAGGCAGAGCTCGGGAAACGTCTAAGGCCGGCCAGAACCCACAGGCAATCTGGCACCAGGGTTGAATGGGGAGTTGGATGAGCTCAGTTTTTCATTTTTACAATGGACCAAAGAACCTCAGTCCCACCATGAGAGAAGTAAAGACGGCAAGTTGTATCTTAAAAAGACATTTTTAGATATCCCTTTATTCCCAAAGCCATGGTTATGAAAACCCTGCTTCTCTCCCGGACTTTGCTTTGCAACTGCAGCCTGTTCTCTCCACAGCGGCCAGAGGGGTCTTTCCAAACCACCCCCTTCCACGGGCCAGTGGTCCTCCTTGCAATTCTTCTTCCCTTGACTCCTAACACTACCGAAGAGATAAGTCACAGTGTTAATCACACTATCATACTTGTCTGGCTTCTCTCTTGTCTTCCCCACTGGAAGTAAGTTTCCCGAGGAGAGCGAGCACCTCGGCCTTACTCATCACTGCCTCCCTAGGATCTATCCCACGGCCATGGACCTGACACACAGTAGGCCCCTCACAAATCTCTCTACTGGTTGAGAGCAGACTCGGTGTGTTAGAGAAGTCCATCTCTTCAAGAGGGACTATAGACTAGTACACTATATTACTGCCTATCATAAAAGTGAATCCATGGTAAACTTAATCCTCGATAAACATGCTTTGGTTTACGATACTGTGTCTGGAGAGAAGTTCTAGGTGAATGTACACACCTAGTTCTAAATGCAAAACAGGATTCCATCTCTGCAAGCAGAGAACCCGAGGGGAGCCTGTCCCCATTAATCCCATGGTTGGCTCCAGCCACGGGAGGGCAAACAGAAGCCCAGCTGGTGAGTTTGCTTGTTGCTGTCTTCATTCCGGAGCTGCCCACCATGCCACGGTCACGTGGACGGAGGAGATTTCAGAGCAATGTGTGCATCACCCAGGAGAGCACATCAAACTCCTGAGTCTGCTGCAGAAACCCGGGGACCACAGGGGACTTGCAGCAGTTGTTGAAAGGGCCAGCTTGTACAGGCAAGAAAAGACTTTCAGTGTCTTGGCTACTAGAGTAATTACCTGATAATTGTCCTCTGTGAGCTGGCTTCTTCCCCCACGAATGGGCCTCCTTTGTAAATCGTGTTGGGTTCAGAAAGCCTTGAAAATTCTTTTATGTCCAGTCACCTCTCATCAGAGCAGTGGTTGGGCAGTGCATCCCTCTCCCCTGTGAATGAGCCCGGGGAGCTGTTGGCTCAGGGGTGCCATCCCGCCTTTGTGCCTTTAACAATCCAATTAACTGTGGCTGACACCAGTGCCAACTGATTAGCATTCAAACACTTCTCTCCCTTCCCACCTCCATCCCCCACTCACCAAACTCCATTCATATCTCATGGTGCTGACTTTGTGATTTCTTGCCGGTGGTAGTCGGGAGGAGGAGAGATACAGGGTGTGATTTACTTGTGATTTCTTTGTGTACAGGAAAATCAGTGAGTCACTGGGAACAGGGCTGGGAGACAGGCACAAGACAGCTCAGAGAGGAACCCCAGGGTGGGAAATCTATCTAGAGTCAATTACCTATCTACTCGCAGAGACAAATATAATACTTGGGAATGAATCCAGATGGTCTGCAAGTGACTTTAAAAGACATCATGAGTAAGTTTGCAATGTCTCTTCACCTGTTTGCTCAGATTCCCAGACAAGAACAAAGAGCAGATCGGCATCCCAGTACGCTTACCGGGACGGGCTCAGAGGCAGAAAAGATGGGAAGATGGGCACACCCGGGCTCGGGCACTGGTTTCGCCACCAAATTGCTATGTGGCCTTGAGCAAATTCCATCTCTCAAAGCCTTGGTTGTTGGCTTTGTGAAATGAGGGCAGTGATCTTTGCCTGGTCAACCTTAAAGAGAGAAAAACTGAGGAGATTGGCGGGGGAGAGCTGTGTGTACGACCGAGTTCTGAGATGTTGAACGCACTTTTTACAACTTTAAGACCAATCACTTTGTTTCTTTTAAGAGATGAGGCCGCTCCTCTCTTCAGACTGAACCTGGACAAGAGGGGCTTTATTTGCTGGGGCCAAATAAAACATGTTCATGGCTTCACCTGCGTCATTGAAATTTTTCTTTTCCTGAGAAGTGTCTGTTTTTATCTTCATTTTAATGACGAGGAAATGCTGGGGAGTGGCAAAGCCGGGATTTGAACAGGGCTGTCTGAGCCCCAAACCCACGCCCCATTGAGGTGGGGAACGGGCTATATGTTTATTCCAGCTGGCCCCCAAATCCTAGCCTGGCTGCTTCCAGAGTGAATGCTGAGTGCTGCCCGCGGACAAACTAGCACAGGATCTGCTCCAGCTATGAGGTCCCCAGAGACAAAGGAGTAGCCCCACGGGTAGCAGAGCACCAGGTGCTCCTCCTGAGGACTGGACAGTAGAGAAAAGTGAGAGAATAACCTTTCAAAAAGCAGAACCCAAAGGTAAGGGAGCTAGCTTAGCATACCCATTTTAGAGATGGGCAAACCAAGGCCTGAGGTGCAAAGGGGAAAGTTCTGGATCAAGAAGGTGAGGATTCCTTATTGACTCTCTCTATGCACTTTGGTCAAAGTGTGTTCTCATCTCTGGGACTCCGTTTTATCCTCTGTTATAACAGAATAATTTCTTCAAATAAAAGCTTAAGTGGAATGACACTCTCTAACCATGCAGTAAAGGATTAACTCAGCAGGTTGGGATTGTCCGCACCCTGCACGTTTTAAAGAAAGATTTGGCCCTTGCCCCCACTCCTGGGAGAGAACTTCAAAACCATTGGAATTATCCTGCCTCACAGGAGGGTCTTCACCAACTTCATAGGTGTTGGGCTCCGCCTGGTACTCTATGCTACCAGCATGATTTATGGGTGGCGACCTTGGGCTTAGCATCAGTTTGACCTGTAGGGGAACTGGACACTAACATCAGCCACACAGGTGGTGGGTCATGGCTGTGTGATTAAGCCCCAGTGGAAACCCTGGACACCAAAGCTCAGGAGAGCTTTCCTCGTTGACCATACTCCATGGATGATACACAGCACCTCATGTGGAAGGTCGGGGCTGTCCGCAGGACTCCACCGGGAGAGGACAACAGGGGATGTATGCCTGGCCTCTCCCAGACTCTGCTCTCTGTGCCTCTTCCCTTTGCTGATTTTAGTCTGGGTCATTTCACTGTAATAGACCAGACCCCTGGGTTTGATGGCTTTTCTGAGTTCCGTGAGTCCTTCCAGCAAATTGTTGAACATGGCGGTGGTCTTAGGGAGCACTGAACTCCCCAGTCAACCACAAATTGGACCATATGGATTGAATCAGGATGGGGGCAGGAGTCTGAGAGCTGTCCAATGAGGCTTCCCCTTTCCTGAACCACCTTTGATGAGGATGATGACGGTGGTGGTGGTGATGACGGGGGATGATGGTGGTTAAGTGCCTGCCGCATGTCAGCTCCC